CTTGATCACACCACATCCTATGCACTTGATAGTCGGGTTCTAGTCTGGCATGCGCTTGATTTAAAATGCTCATGTACTCTCCATATCACCATCGCCATGCTCCTGCACCCGCTGCCCCGCCTCTGCACCAACTACCCTGTTCTTGACCCTTTCAGGCTCGTCGGCCCCACCCCGCCTCATTCCATACATCCACCTCGTTCCCCTGTCTTTCACAAGTGGCCATCTCGAGACTTTACAAGCAAGTGTTTCTCTTGTTCAATCTAGTCTTGACACACTACTCCCCTTTCCACCCAGCTTCTGCTATGACGAATCGTCAGTCGTAGCAAGCAAGTTCGAGAAGGTGCTGTATGAGATGGACATGGTTACACCAAGGACACAATCGTTTCGAGGGCGAAGATGTATGTGTTGGATGTAAGCGTTGGAAATGCTGTATTTGGCCGTCATCTGTGAGGATGGTGCGTCGCTACAGCACGATGGGTGAGTTGTGCTAGCGATATTCATGATACGGGTCAAGGTCCATGGAGGTCGAAAGGAGCCCGGGATGCAGGATCTTTTGTAGCGATTGCGTCGATACTGATGATGAAACGAGCTCGTGGTATCCTTGGTAGCGAAAACAGAGACGTAGGAAATCGGAAAGTCTTATTTGGGCGAGAGGTCGGTGTCGTTGTCAGGACCCGGGGCGCTGAGAAATCTCGTGCTCAGGCCTAACAATCCAAGGCCAATGCCTTGCGCTCTCATTTTTCTTGTCTTTACTTTCGCAAGTCCGTCGCAACACCCTCCTTTTCGCACGAAGTCAACCATCTTCCTCACCAAGGCATAGCCTCCGCTCCGAAATCCACCCTTTGCGCCGCATATCTCCTATCCTGCCATGTCTCTTCCTCCTCGTCCTCCAATTCCTGTCCAACACCCCACCTCTTCTTAACCTTCTTAACAGCAAACCTCCCAATCCCCCAAACCGTCGCCGCGAAAATCGTGCCCGCAATGCCCGTCGGCGCCAACACGAACCCCGCCCCACTAACCACTGTGCCGAAAGCTCCAGCACCTATCGTCGCGACCAGTGACCCGATCGCAACATATTTCGCATATCGGACGAGTTTCCAGAACGCGAATATCACGCCGGAACGGAGGACGCGGAGGAGTGCGCGGGTGCGGCGTGAGGATACGGCGTTGGGCGCGGTCTTGGGGTCGTAGAGGTAGCGTAGATTGCGCCGTGTTGAGGCGAGTGCGGAGCGGGATCGCGCATCTATTTCCTGTTCGTGGGCGTCTGTGGAAGACATTTTGGGGCGGGTTGCGATTGGTGGTGGCAGCTGTTGTAGTACGAGATGGTGTTTGGGAGGGAAGTTTGCAAAGAGCGATGACGTCATTGGGCATTAAGATCGAAGCCGTAGATCTTAGGACATGGTGATTCGGACGACAATGTAATTTTGTAAAACTCGTTCATGTAGGTTACTTGGCTCTTGCATGAGCATCCTAAGATCTGAGACCACTCGCTCATAGACTTCAATCTCGGTACCATATTATCGTGTCTTCCTCTCGCGCCCGTCACCTACTCCCGTTTCTCCATCTTGACTTCCTTCATCTTCGCTTCCATCTTCACTTTTTCAGTTTTGACCCTCGGTTCCGCCTTTATCTGCACCTCCTCTTCCTTCAGCCCCATGTCTACCTCGACCAAGTCCAACCCGCCATGAAGTTCCAGTCTCTCCTTCTTGCCTTCCTCCACACGCCCGAACTCCTCCTCCTCCTCCACGTCCTGTAGCCTCTCTCTCTCCAGCTCCTGTTCTTCCTGCAGAGTGCGTCTACCCACAGGGTGAGCGCTGTGGTTAGACGTATTCAACTCCAGTAAAGACCAAGCAAACCTCCGTCCAGTCACTGGATCTAGGATGGCGGCACGGAAGGCCACACCCGTCATCTCATGTACCAGGCGCGGCTTTTGGCCGTCTGGTTTGTGTATTTCCGTTTTAATGAAGTGGTCGATGTCCTCTTGCACAATTCTCTCGGCCAGGTGCTTGTGCTCATCGGCTGCGATGATATTTAGTCGTATATCTGAGTCGGGGTCGTCCCAGCAGCGTACGGTGATCTTCATATGGCGAGTATAGGGAGCTAGCGCGAAAAGAGCAGAGGCGTAGATCCACTTATGTCTTTGCATTTGGTTGCCGTTTTGGTCAAAGAGCGGTTCCGGCTGGATGTCGTCTTCTCGTTCCCACCCTGATGGCTCGTCGGCGTAGGTGATAGCGCATAGATTGATTACAGGCTGATAAGCCGCATCGGTTATAACGCGTATGGCTAGGTAGAGGGGCGTTGGTACGCCAGGGAGGGCTTGAGCGCTGGTTGACATAATGAAGAATGGGTGATGGGTACAGGGCCAGGTGTTGTTACAGCTACCGAAGAACTATACATATCAAGACTGAAATAGTCCATGGGCCCTGATAGCGTCATGTGTTCGGGCCATGAGTTTCTCGTTTCCCTTCACTACTGCTCATGATATCATTTGCCCCCTTCTGTCCCTCCGCACGGTCCGCTGTTTCCAGGCTATTCATTAGAATACCCTTGTTGAACGTCTTCCTTCTTCCTCGCTCTCACATGTGGGGTGTCCTTGTCGCATTGCTGAAGCCCTTTGGAGCCTTTCTACGCGTGATCCTCCCCAGTCAAATGCTACTATTCTCGTGCTGACATCGAATGGCAGAAGATCAGGTGACATTGTTGGAAACGATCTCAACGTTGCATCCGCTTCAGTCTTTCTTCAGCAGCCCTAGCACGCCGTTCTCTTTCCATCCTAGCTCTTGCTTCTGGCGTTAGCCCCCTCATCTCTTCCTCTCTCAAGTCTGCTCCAGTCTTGACAGGTAGTGCACCCAACGACTTGCCCTTGCCCAACCTCTGCTCCTTTTTCCTGATTTCCTCGGCCTCACTCTCTTTCCGCACACGTTCGGTCTCAGCCTTCCGTCGATCAGCTTCAGCCTTACTCTCTGCAGCCTTCTCGGTCTTCTCTTGAGCGTCTCGCTTGTCGGCCTCGGCTTTGGTGATGGCTGCAGGTATACCGGCCTTCTCCCAATCCCAGGCAGACTCTCCGAGCTCTGAGCGTGCGACGCGAAATGCGTCACGAGCTGCACGGTCACCAGTCAGTGTGAAAGGAGTTCGCGCTTCATCGTTCATCACAGTCGGATCGGCCCCGGCCTTCGTGATGAGCGCGAGGATGATAGGAGCAGAATTCAGGGATGCAGCAAGATGTAGTGGTGTCGGTGTGTGATGGTTGGTCGGGAGAAACTGGAAGTTTGGTGAAACTTCATTCGTCTTGAGGTAGTTGAGAAGCGCAGGAACTTTCGAACGCTTGATCATCGGTATAACTTGGGACGTGTGTAATGTCGCAGCCTCTTCTTCCTTCGTCAGCTTCTTGGGCTTAGGTTTTGCTGGAGCGGGTGCGGCAGCCGCAGCTTCCTTCTGAGGATTATTAAGAGCAGCAAGCGCTGCTTCATCAATAGTACTCTGCTTTACTCGAGTAAGCTCTACAAATGCACGCATCAGCTCTTTCTGAGTCGCTCGCCGTGTACTGAAGGGAAAGCCTCGGTTGCGTGGGTCATTGTGACGGAGAATCTGTCCTTCATACGGTCCAAACAGAGTTCTCCGGTTCGTCGCGCCGGTCGCGCGAACAAAGATCAATTCTGCAGTATCGATCAAACTTTTCCAGCTAGAGAGTAGCTCGCGGACTTCGGCGATGAGTGCGGTCTCGTTATAGCGACGAATTGATGAACCGGCCGAGTGTGCGTTGCCTTTTGCGTTATCGTTCGCTGATTGCGAGCCTCCCTGTTTCCGTCGTGTAGTGTATCTGTGGAAGGTCTTATGCGCAATTACAGTTGCCGAACGCTCATCGAATCCTGTATGGTTCTTCCCTGTCTTTGGTGCCAGCGCCACTATCATTGCAGCGAAATGACCACCGCCTATCATACAGAGAAAAAAATGCGGCCCAATGTATGTGCCTGGTAGTGGGACACCACCCTCATTCGCCTTGATCTTGGGAGGCTGCTTTGGGGATAGCTGCTTTGCGCGTATAGTGTCCAGGATATGTGACTCGTCCTCCTGCTCCGCATTCGAGAAGATCGCACGATAGACGCCCAGCGACATGTTTTCGGGTATCGAGGGTGACGAGAACCATATCAGCGGAGGCTTGCCGGAACCTCTCTGCTTCTTCCTTGAGGCAAAATCCTCAAATTCCGGATCCGAAATCTTGGCCTGCTTCTTCAAAAGTGCGCTTAATGTCGAGTCCTTTGCCTTCGCCCCTTCTTCATCTTCATCGTCGTCGGATTCCGATGACTCAGACCCTGATATGCTCTCGTCCAGATCGCCGATGAGCTTCTCGAACTCGGCCTCGCCCACGGGCTTTGCGCCTTTTATCTTTTGCTTCAGGTTGTATCCATGGAGGTCGGATCGGACATGAGCGCGCTGGTCTGTAAGGGATGCGAAGCTGAGCCCACAGAGGTTGCACGATGTGGCCTTTGCCGGGCTGCTGCTCTCGTCTTCAGCGGTATCGGGAGATTCGTTCGCTGCCACAGGTGTTGGGATCGGTATCTCTTCTAACGGCTGCTCAGGCTGGTCCTTGAGTGTGAGTGTGGCTAATAGCTCTTCGGGAAGATCAAACACTGCGAATGTTAGTTCTGTGTGCACTGGGGGAGCAGGTATCTTACCATAGAGAGGGCGCTGCAATAGATGGTCTCCTTTTTGGGCCATTGTGAATTGTCGAGAGTGTTGGTCAAGTGTGGTAGGTGGTATGCGATCGTGAGCAGAAGATTCGGAGGGGCGCGTTGTAGGTTGAACATGACGTACATCGCAGCCTTATACGCGAGTCATCGGGCGCCCAACACGCTAATCCCTCACCAGCGCGTTCAGCCCTTCACCACCCACCAATCCTGCAAACGAATTTCACGCGTCAATCACCAGAAATCACGACCAGGACAGGAAGACTAAGCTAAAGCGCCTTTGTTTTCGCAGCGTCGCGCACACAAATTAGATTACGCATACTCCGCATCAGCTACCTGCACAAACACCCACCCTGGCTCTACGTAGTCCAGCAATTGCAGTGGATCCGGCCCCTCAACATGAGCGGGAATTGATACGAAGTCTATGTTGCGCTCGGCAAAGCACTGGTGTAGCTTCGCAAAATCTGGTGGAAAGTGACCCAAGAAAGGTGGCCAGTCCACTACAGCAACTCTCTTCAGAGACAGCTTCGGAGTAGCCATCTCAGCAAGATGGCGCAGCATCTCTGTCGGGCCCTCCCACCCCTTTGAACCCCAGTGTTCTTGCCAGTCAATCTCAAAGCTCACCTCTTCCAGTGATGGTGGAAGATGATGCACTAGTTTCGCAACGAAATCGGAAGTACAATTAATCGGCTCGTCGTCGTGTGTTATCAAGCCCATATCCAACGAGCGAAGACTTGTCATATTCGAAGCCAGGCGTGCTATCTGCAGCACGTGCCCCTGACAAAGCATTTGTTGGTCGCCTCGGATGGAGAGACGCTCAATCGTTGCGCGATTGTGTATGAACGCTCCCGCAAGCTCGCTGAACTTGGTCAAGAGGCTTGGAGAGTATATGCCGCGTTGATCTGCCAAGGAGAAGATGCAAAGTCAGCGTATGCCTTACATGGAGTTCGTACAGTCCTATTATTACCATTATTGATGTCCTGTTCGTAGGAGAAACTCTTCAAAATCCTGCAAGCTTCGGTGAAGTACCTCAACGTCGGCACCTCCACAACGGATCGTTTCAGCGTGATTTCCTGGCATTGAGAAGATGCGGGATCTAGCACAGTCTGAATTGGAATGTCTTGGTCCCAAGTCGGGCGTTTGTTGTTCTGATCGAGGAGCACTAGGTCCGAAGCGGTAAAATCGTGGAGTGAAGGAAGGAGGAAAATGTATGCTATGGCTTCTAACGACAGCGGACCGTGTATGTTGATGCTCTTCAGGTGTATGAAACGATCTGGATGGTTCGCAATAGTCGTGAACCAGTATTTGTCGTCTGGCCAGAAGGCTTTGTCTGCAACGACAAGTGTATCGACATTCGGGGTGAACATTAGAAGTATCTCCAGAAATTCGTCATCGCGTCGTGTGCCAGTAGCATTAGACATCAATCTGTCCTTTTCTGGCAGCTCTAGAATCCTAATGCATATGAGGAAGACTGCTTGATTCTCCTCGGTATCGTCATGATCGTCGAAATCGTGCTTCCACGTGAGGTTTCGCACTCGATTCCCAAGCTCTGGATTTGCACATAGCGTACGTAACAGTGGCCAAGGACGTCGTACGAAAAGGTTTCTGTACAAATGATCGAGCGAAAGCGTGTACATCCGCCGGCTGGTCAGACTAAGGTGACATATGTCCTTAGCGTTCTCATTTGGGATGCGCTCGATGATACTCATGACCAACTCGTTGGGCAGAGCATTGAAGGGGCATAAAGATAGTGCAGTGATCGACATGGTTGCTATCGAATCATCTGGGCGAGTGGCTGGAAGGTAGCATGCGTAGACGGGCACTGCCGCAGATGGGTTATACAAGCGGCTTAGACTTGAGATGCATGATGCAAGAGTTATATTCACTGAATTTTATAAGTAGAACGGTCGTTAGATATGTTGGCAGAGGACACGAGCTTCCCCGCGTTGGGACGCTAATGCCCAGGTGCCTTAGCGGCTGTTAGACCGGTCAAGCACGTGTTGACAAAAACGGCGAATCATCCGCTACCATTACGCCGAAATACAAGCGACTCAAATTCCACAAAGCTCCCAGAAGTATCCCAGTTGCCTGCAGCAGTCGTACAAGGATGCAGTTTTGCCAATCTTCATGCTGTCGTGGGTTGGAGTCCCTAAAGGCAATGAGCCGCAAAAGCGTCTGTTTTGTGTACCCAGAGCCAATCAGACTCTACGTCTTCTTTGATAGCCAGCGGCTCCTGTCCCTCGATATCTTCGTAAACTACATCGAATTGCATTCCTGAACGTTCATAGAACCGCTTCAAATGCTTAACCTCGTCCGAGAGGGGAAACCAACCTGCCAGTGCAGGCCAGGAGATATAGATCTGTTTCAATCTGGACGTTGAAGAAGCAACGGCTTCGACCAAACGTGATAAGATGCCGATGAGGAATTGTAGCTTGGGTTCTTGGCCTAGCTCATAAGTCCACTGAAGCCGCAGAGATTCCAGAGTGTCTGGAAAGGTCTTGACAATCTTTCTCGCTATAGGATGTAGGTCTTCAGAGCGTGGGGTCTCCGATGGATTGAATGTTTCAATATTGCAAGGGCCGATATCCAGCGTACGGAGTCTCGGGAGTGTAGGTCCGGTAACATGATAACATAGCGATGACAGCTCCGTTTCCGTCACTACCGAGTCCACTCGTAGACGTAGGTTTTCGAGAAAGATATTTGGACCCCATCCGATATTTCCGATCCATGAGAAAATAGCTGGCGGTATCCCAGGACGCCATTTCATTTCATGGGTGACGTGCTCGTAGGTAAAAGTCTTGAGTTTGTTAAGCTTTTCGAGAGTGATCATTACCGAAGGGAAGTGAAAGTCTGATTCTCTTATAATGAAGCATTCGAGAGATGAGCCATTAGCCAGCCACCGATCAACGTGGGCTTCGCCGGCATCGTCCCAGGGGAAAGTCCTGCCAGGCTCTCGACGCATATCGACGACCTGAGTAAGCTCCAAGGTTTGTATGAAGGGCAAAGTCACAAGCGGTACGATACTTTCTAGACGTAGAGGACCCAGCAGAGTGATTGATCGAATATTCCCGAAGTGAGCTGGATTGGCAGCCAAAGTCTTGAACCAGTAAGAGTGGTCGTCCCACTGCCATACATCGTGTACGGTGATCTTTTCAACTTTAGGCGTGAAGAACAAAAAGAACTCCAGGTACCACCAATTTACTTCGTGATCAGAAGCAAAGCCTATGAAGCGGGTTGGTAGGTCGGTAGAGATATCCGTGGTGTCCAAGATGGCCCCAGAGCTTCTGAGTTTGTTCGCAACGGCATATCTGTCGCCTAAAGGCAGACAGCGGCGTCTGCATGGTCGGCTCCAATAGTCCTGATACCACACCACCTCTTTGACATAGTTTGTGAGTTCATGACAGTGGGCTGAATGAGACAGCGTTACGGTACGCAGGAATTGCTCCGGGGCGCAACCTGGAAATCTTCGATATAGCCGGTCTAGTGTGAGGCGATGAAATCGCCAACTCGTCGCATTCAGAGCGCGTAATGTCAAGTAATCATCTGCATCCAGCTGATCTAGGATGAGGAGGATCAATTCGTCGGGAAGTGCAGGTGCGCCCAAATTCAGGCGCGGTGCTAGTGCAGGAAGGTCCATCGTTGCGATATGTATGGCAGATCCGTTGGGCGAAGGTCTAGACAGGTTTGCATGTTACCGCCAGCGTAGTATGCATGCGAAATCGCTGCTAAGACGATGGGAGGTACTTAGGTAGATGACAGCGGGATGGTGGCGCTGAGATGGCGCGCACGAGCCGCTTCCCCTCCGGTTCCGCGGACATCGGCTCAATCTGCAGGGGTCCCGAGGTCACGCTACCTAGGTACCTAGGCATTTAAAGCTTCAATGCTCCTTCACAAAGCATTGGTAAGTAGCTGGCCGCCTCCTGGCGAGCTCTTCAAAAGCACTGGAAACATACTCGCACGCGTAGATGGTGGCCAGCTTCGACATCACCAGGGCGACCTCGGGACCCTTCATTTCCTGGAGACGCGCCACATGGCGACTTTACGCATCGATCTCAGTGCCAAGCAAGGCGTACATACGCCCATGTCGTACAAACTATTACCTTTGCAGCATCTTACCGTACCTAGGTAAGCTCTCAATGCCTGAGCCCGATCCACTTCATTGCCCGGATCTTTAGATGAACAACATCTATCACCCGCCCATACAGACTCTTTCATCGGCAGGATCCTCCAGACAGGCAGAACCTCACGAAATTTTTGCTCTCAAGTACAGCCCGTTTGGCACCATCTTCGTCTCAACGCATTTGTTACACAGTTCCCGCACCTTCCTATAACGTGTGGTCCTTCGCCACCCTCAGATGCATGCATACGCAAGCTGGAAGCCTCTGGCATGCAAACTACTTATCAAATGCTGGTCCGAACAACCCTGATAGAATCTGGATATGCGATATCAATGATGAAAGCCTGTGGCTGCAAGCGTGTTCTACAATAACTATGCGCCCGCATGAACAAGTGCACTTATGCCGGGCTCGCATGCTTTGGTGTAACCGCATCTCAAGTATAAAGAGTCATGGCATCTCGCAATTGCCGTCTACGAGGTACTGACTTCATCTCCAACAAGCTGTTACCTCGCCATGAGGTTTGTATTTGCATTTCTGCTCTCGGTTGGAAGCACCGTAGCACAAGCTCCTCAGACCGAAGTGTTAGCCAAACACGGACTTGATCAACTATGGCTTGATCTGGCCAAACACCCCGATAGCTACACCAGGAACTGTACCTCAAGTACACTCGCTCGGCGCCGTGAATGGTATGTTCATGCAAACCTCAAGGAGGATGCCACTCACATCCCACAGGTCTAAGCTGAAGCGTTCGGAGAAGCTGAACTACATCGAAGCTGTTCACTGTATGGGAAAGACAAAGGCGAGAACTCCAGCTGCTGTTGCCTCTGGAGCCACAAGTCGCTACGATGACTTTGTGGTCACCCATATCCTGTTGACACAGTACACGCACGGAAACGTATTCCTCATCAAACCCTAATACGCCTTAACAGGATGACTGACATTATCAAGGGAAACTTTCTGTCGTGGCACCGCTACTTTATGTGGGCATGGGAGCAGACTTTGCGTAATGAGTGTGGATACAAGGGCTATCTTCCATATTACAACTGGGCGTTGTGGGCTGATAACCCCGCTGCATCCCCTCTGCTTGATGGAAGCGACACGAGTATCTCTGGAGATGGGGTGTATGTTCCCGGTCGCAATGCCAGCTGTGTGCCCAACCTAAACCGATGCTTCGTAGAAGTTCCACCCGGAAATGGAGGTGGTTGTGTTGCCTCAGGGCCCTTCAAAGAGTGAGTAGTCATTCTTAAATGCCTCTATCATGTCCAGAGTACTGACGGCAGTGCAGCTGGAAGATGCACATCGGACCAGTATCCTCTCTCGACACCACCGTACCGCCAAACCCATCTCCGGATGGTCTAGGCTACAACCCTAGATGCATCAGACGCGACATCAATACACGCTCATCATCGGAAACAACCGACGCTGATGTCGCCGAACTAATCACAGCCAGCGCCAACATCTCCGCTTTCCAAGACACGCTCCAAAACCCTTCTCCTGGAAAACTTCGCGTTCACCTTGGTGGCCATCAGACAATCGCCGGTGACGCGGGCTCAGACTTCTACAACTCTCCTTCCGATCCATACTTCTGGCATCATCACACCCAGATTGACCGAACTTGGTGGATCTGGCAGAACCAGAATTTGGAAGATAGGCGATTTACCATTGCTGGAACGCTTACGTTTCTGAATACCCCGCCGACGAGGAATGCGACGCTGGATGATGTTATGACATTCGGCAATTATTTGGGCTTTCCGAATATGACAATAAGAGAGGCTTCCAGTACGCTTGCTGGGCCCTTTTGCTATATCTATGAGTAGAGAGGTGATAGATCCGGAACCGTCAGTTCAGTACATGTATTCATCTAGATAGCTTGCCCAACCTCTTCGACATCCCCGTCAAACCTTCGCATCTCTTCTTCGCCAAGGTCGACCTGTTTTAAATCTGATCGGTGACCGCAATACCCATAATATCGATGTCTCACCGGCATATAGTACGAATGATGTGTCGTAATCTCGCCACGCAGAATGCTTGTGGCACCGTAAGCGTTCGCCCCGCATAAGCCTACCATGCCTGAAGATGTAATCTGCTGCATCGTCAATCATAAGTCAACTGGCGACGCGTCCAATCGCGCCAGTACGATTAGCGTTTTATTGAAATAAGATCGACACTTGGCATAGTCGAGATACGGGCCATAGATTGAGTGATAGGCTAAGTGGAGAGCAGGAGATCGAAAATACATGTACAACGTCGTTCAAATGTCTACCACGTCTCTTGGCGATATCTACCACTCTTTTCCATACTCACGAGATAATTCTCTGCGCCCTCCCTGTCCATATTCCCATGTTCTTGAAAAGCTTCGATGAGCGCTTCGCGCACTGCCTGGGGCATCTTGCCCGATGACCCGCAAATATATAGGATGCCGGATTTATGGAAGAGTTGAGAGAAAACGAGGGAGGATTGCTGCCGAATGAGATCTTGCACATAAACCTTTTGGCGCTGTCGGATCGTTAGCGTAGACTTAAAGAGGGTGGAGCTGGGCACTTACCTGGTCTCGGGAGAACGCCGCAAAGACTTCTAGGGGCACTCCAGAGGATTGAAGCTGCGCCCACTCGTCCTTGAAGAAGTAGTCTGATTCAGCGTTACGACAGCCGAAAAAGAGAAGATCCTTTATACTTCCGTCATCTTGCTGCGCGTGGCCGTTTTGTAGCTTCTTATGCTCCTCGCGCCATAGTATACGTTGGTATATCAGAGAACGCATGGGAGCTACACCTGTGCCTGGTCCAATCATCACGACCGGTCTATCAATTTCCTCTCTTCCTACACCCAGTCCGCCTCGCGAAAGAGTGACTGTGATCTCCTGTCCTGGAGTGAGTGAAGCAATATATCGCGTAGCAACACCCTGCCTGATTCTTTTAATGACAGTCTTGTACTTCACAATCGCGATCAAGAGCTCAATCTTTGTGCTATTCTCCGCCTCTGCGTCAGGATTCATTGCGCTTGCGATGCTGAACTGGCGACCACGCAATGCAGGGATGATGCTGCAAACGCGCTGCCAGGGTATTTTGACAGACTCAAACTCCTGTAATACCTCTAATATGCTGCGGCGCGGGCGTGTAGTGTAGTCGTAGAGTTCGTCAAGATACAGGGGGTCGGTAAACTCAAGTAGTCTTGCCTTGTGAAACTCGTCGTTCGTGTAGTGCGCGAGCTGGGCGAAAAACGACCTTCGTGGTATGGCGATGATGTCGAGATGGTTAGTCAACAGCTGCCGTAGGGTTATTAGACTACCTGGCTCCAGATTTCGGACCGGCAGGGTGGTGTCTGGGGGCGTTGAAGGCGACGAAGGTACGAAGCGAAGTGGTATATCAGCCTCGGAAGTCCAGCCCATACACTCAATGAACTGCGATACATCCGACGGGAAGTTCTTGGGGTATATTGTGAGTACATCGCCTGGACCGTAGGGATGTGTCTCTGGTATCTCGAACTTGATATGCCGTACATCCTGCCAATGGTTTGTTGGAGTGACTCTCTCATTGCTTGTAATCTTCGCAGTCAGTCCGCCACCTATCTTCAGGAGATCTAATGGGGGAACATCCGTCGCATCGCCATTCGATACAGGTGCATTATTGGTGTTCGATGAAGATGTTGTATCATCGACGGCAGGCGCAAGCAGCCATTTCGGGTCTAGTAGAACATCGTCCGGTATCGGCTCGACACCATCAGCGAGAGGGTAAGAGTCAAGGAGATGTTGGCGCAGTTTCGTCGACCATGGTAGGAAAGATCCGTCGATACTTTGGAATAGTCAGATATGCGCCGTAATTGCAATGATGGCACAAGTTTTGCTGCATACGCAGTTTGACAGGCAACATGAGACGATGCATCAGGAAATAGAAAGGAAACTTGCAGACGCGATAATCGTGTTGACATACCCCTCTGGATGTTGCTCGTCCGACTCTCCGCGATCGCAGACTGGCTGCGCTCCTAGCTGGACGAGCCGATTGTAGAGCTTGCGATGCGCCCAGTTGTACTTTGGATAGGACGTATCACCAAGACCAAAGGATGCAAATTTCATCTGCTGCAAGCACCCTGGTCGCAGCCGAGCACTTCGGATGGCTTTCCAAAACTTCTGGCTATTGGGTGGCAGGTCACCCTGGCCCGTAGTGGAAATGGCGATGAGAACGACATCGTGTTGCAGCAGTTGTCTCTACCGACAGTCAACCATCGCTCCTTGCACGCGACACCGCCAGACATACAAGAGTGATGGCGTTGAGCTCAGCGACTTCCGTGTGGAATCTCAGTCGCTCAGCGACCCTTCCCATCTCCTCAGCCACATCCTGTGCGTTCCCTGTTTCCGAGCCGTAGACGACCAGTGCGCGGCGCGCTTGCAGTGCACCTGCCATGGCGGTAAATCAGCAATCAGATTGCGGTGAGGCAGGCTAGCCGGGACAGGACTCGAGGAATGGGAAAATTGAATGGCAGGGCCCCCGGATCCAGTGCATGAAGAAGCGGTGCACTAGCGGACACGTCAACGGCAGGCGGGTCTTTTTCATGCTTCTAGCGGCAGTGGGCGGTGGGGCGGAGGTGAAGCTGGAGCGCCATGCAGCCAAGGTCGAGGTCTACTGTGGCGCTAGGGCGCGCTGTGGCGTCGCGCTTAGCTAAGCAGCGATGCGCATCGCGTGCAGGCACTGCAGTCGCACCAGAGCATGCACACATGTGCGTGCAGTGGGTGAGAGAGAGTGACTGTTCTCGCTGCTTGTGCTGCGGCGAACCCGTCCATGCGCTCAGCGGCCGCCTAGTCGCCGTTTCCCCTATCCATGCACTCCTGGTCGCTGCTCTCAGGCAAGTGGGCCCTCGACTGTGCGCAGGGGCCGCTTCCGTTACCGGATGCGGCCAAGCCCCATGGCTGCGCTCTTCAAAATAATCTGCCTGGTCGAGGCCTGCCCTCTCTCTCCCCCATCAAGTCAACAACAGAGACCAACCACGCACCCCATCAACCCAATCCTCTCTCAACCTTCCCCGGGCTCGTAGCTACCCACTCCACACCCCCCTCGTCAACAGTTCCACCAGCAGGCGGTTCGGCAATCCCATCACCCACCAACCACCACTACTGTTCAAGGTTACCTTTACCGGTCTACTAGGACTCCAAGTTTCGTCAACCTCTTACACGCCCGGTCTATCACTCGTGTTCGTCAACCACCCAAACTTCAGCAATCATGTCCGCACCTGTCGACAGTGTCACCGCCCAGATGGCCACCACCTCCCTCAACGACAACAACGCTCCCACCGCCACGGAGAGCACTGGCGCTCAACAGCCCACCGCAGCCGAGGACGAGGCTGTGCGAGCGAGCGCCGCTGAGGGCAGGCGACTTTACATTGGAAACCTCGCGTACGCGACCACCGAGGGGGAGTTGAAGGAATTCTTCAAGGACTACCTGGTGTAGGTGGACCCTGCTTCTCCGCATGACGCAACTCGTCCAAGCTAACACGTGGTGCAGCGAGTCCACGACCATCCCCACCAACCCACGCACCTCGCGCCCCGTCGGCTACGCCTTCGTTGCCCTCTCGACCCCGTCCGAGGCTGAGCGTGCCATCGCCGAGCTCAACGGCAAGGCCATCCTGGACCGCAAGGTCTCCATCCAGCTCGCCCGCACTCCCGAGGCCCACGCTGAGGGCGCCGGCAGCGGAGCCGAGGGCAACACTGGCGAGGCCCGCCGCCGTACTTCCACTCGTGGACGCGGTCGCGGTCGTGGCCGTGGCGGCCGTGCTGGACGCGGCGGACGCGCTGTAAGTACCTCCGCACCCCACCGCATGTCTTCACAAGCTAATCAAGTTCTGCACCAGGCCGATGCTGAAGGCGCCGAGCAGGTCGAGCTCTCCAACGAGGCTCCTGCCGACTCCACCCCTACAAATGTACCCGGCCAAGTTGCTCCCCTAACCGAAACTACGAACGAAGCGCTTACCGCAAAGAAGGGCGCCGACAAGTCTGCTCCCCAGGGGCCCCGTGAACGCAAGCAGCGCGGTCCTCCCGAGGACGGTGTTCCCTCCAAGACCAAGGTCATGGTTGCAAACCTGCCGTACGACCTGAAGGAGGACAGGGTGAGTTTGCACATGCCCTTCTCAAAGCCCATGCTAACTGGTGAATCAGCTTCTTGAGATCTTCAAGGACTACTCCCCCACCCAGGCCAAGATCGCCCTCCGCCCCATCCCCCGCTTCATGGTCAAGAAGCTCCAGGCCCGCGGTGAGCCCCGCAAGGGCCGTGGTTTCGGTTTCGTTACCCTCGGCTCTGAGGAGCTCCAGCAAAAGGCTTGCTCCGAGATGAACGGCAAGGAGATTGAGGGTCGTGAGATCGCAGTTAAGGTCGCGATCGACTCCCCCGGCAAGGAGGACGACGCTCCCGACGCGGCCGCCGATGGCGAGGCTCCCCTCACCGAGACCGCTGCTGCCAACGAGACCGACAAGGTCGTTGAGAACCCTCCCGCCACCTCTACCCCCGCTGCCACCTCTACTCCCGCCGCCTAGGTAGCGGCTGCTGCTTAGACGCGCGTCACCCTCAGCAAGTCGCGTCAGACATGGCATTGCGCTGTGGATTTGTGTATCGAAGTTTCTGGCCCATCGACATCTACCATTTACCTTGATAGAAAGATATGGGCAAGCGCCTTCAGCATCTTAGTCGTTTTAGGTTATCGGGTTATCCGCAAAAGTGCGAATTCGGAGTCTGTCAGGTGTAATATGGTGGACTATCTCGGGTTCTTTACGGTTACGGAAAACTTATGTTAGCTGGCACGAGAGATGAGATATCACATGAATGAACAAACAAACAAACCTGCCGTTAATACGACGGTTGATGAATGACCTTTTTACTCGGAGAGTACTGTGTTCCTTTACTCGTGATTGCGAGCTGCACCCTCGCAAGACACCCAAGGATTGTCCAGAAGGCGATGGGCAAGGGCAATCGTGATGCGACTTTCCATGTCTCGATTTAATTGATGATGTACTAATGCGCGCCATATAACAAGAATTGATGGGCGGTGCATTCAACGTATTACTAATGTATTCTAAGCTCCTAAAAACATGGTATGAAGTACACTGGAAATTGTCTAATATCTTGCACGCCTGTTATAACAGCTTTGAACAATCTTTCGCGATATATGACAAAGAAAACGACCTTAGTGGTGGAATGCATTCTTAATCTTGTTTCCAATTTTCTTGAGCCCAGAACTGAAGTTCGCCCAAAAGGAGTTCCAGCTACGTCGCGTAAGCAAAACCTCATCTCTACCTTCGATGCTCATCCTGGCTTCTATCCGAGCCGTCGGCCTAGGCCAATTAAACTCTGAGAGAGTTGCGCCGGATGGATCTGAGGGTAGGCTGACTGAAGTTACGGAATGGGTAGGAGTCGGAAAAGGCGATGCTGATTCTGTGATTGTAGTAGATACTGAGGTTAATGCTGTGGTCTCTGTTGTGGATGATACTACAGATCGACGCCGGCGACGTTCGTATCCTGATTTAACTGCTGAAGCTATAGATGTCATCAGAAAGCTTCAAGACGTCAAGTTGATCGAGTGACTTACTAGGTGATGGAGTACCAGAAGTAGCTGATACATTGATGCTTGAGAGTAAGGAAAACTCTACTGTCAAAGAAGAGGGCACCAGAGACACCTTCGCCGGCTCAGATGTCTTGAAGTGGCCAATCAACGTAGCTGTCGCGGACAGTCCACTGTACATGGGCGGAACAGTACACTCGCCGTCTGCTCCAACGGGCCCAGCATCAACAGGTACAGAACGACCATTGTTATCGATATCAGCCATGACAACGCACCAGCCTGTCCCACTCGGTATTCCTGATGGTGTCGCGACTTCTCCTGCTGCTGCGTACGGATATCCTTGGAAAGTCGGAGGGGGGACGCATTCTCCGCCTGACCCTGCAGGTCCACCTGCGACGGGTATAGGACTTCCATCTCGGTTTATGTCAGCGACTGTGACGCACCAGTTGACGTCGGCGGATATGTTGTTCAGAGCAGCGATTGCTGTTGTTTTCGCAAAGACGACAGTTGTTGCTGTAGTCTTAACAGTGACGGTGCTGCGGCCTGTTGCTGGCTGGTCTTGTGCTGGGAAATTTTAGCTTTAGAAAGATTTGCGTTGGATTAAGACATACCGAGGAAGCTGACGGCATCATCTTGGGCTGTTGATCGGCTCGCGCTCGCTATTGTGGTCATTGAAGGCTGTGCTGTTACAGTGGTGATGCTCGTCAAGGTAACTATTACAGTCACGAGAGATGGCCCGCCGGGAGCTACTACCGATGGTGTGATAGGCTGCGGAGTTACAGAAGTCGTACCGGTCACCGTTACGTGTACTGTGTTTGATTCGATTGTCGACGATACAGGAGGTGATGACGTAGGCATGGCACTCGGAATGATTGGCGACCCAGAGCTGAGTGTCTGCGGTGGTGTTGTGGCAATAGACGTATATGACGCTGCTGAGCTAGCTGGAGCTTCAGCGGGTGGCTTTGGCTGAGGGTTTCCGCAGCTCATATTCTTGATTCTTGACTGTCGAGAGCTTGGATCAATAACACTCCAATCGGCCTTCTGATCCGATGTAGTGTCTTTGAGTAACTCGAACCAGAAAGTAGTGTATTTCCCAAACACAGCACAGCCAACCTCACTCCAAAACTTCTGGAGTTCGTCTATACCGGCGACCGCAGCCCCGTGTTGTTCAGAGTCGGTAAAAGGCCAGCCCATTTCCGCGATCCAAACCGGTCTGTTGCCTGCGCGCTGCTTGACTCCCTCGAGAGAGCCCTGAAAACTTGTACTTGCTGTTCCGATACTGTCTTTGTTCCAGTACGGGTATGCAGTCATGCCGATGAAGTCTGCATTATCCACCACGGCATACTGCGCGGTATCGACATGGCCGATTGGTTTATCCTTCATGTACTGGGCGAACGATGAGGAAGCAATGCTTTCCTTCACCTTGGCTATGGTCTGCCCAACGACCATTGCGGTAACACCAACTTCTTGAGTCGCCTCGGCACGGTACACGTCCTCGTTGCCTACAGAGAGTCCAATGATAAGATCGGAAAGCGCTTGGCCGTGCTTCTTAAACCCTTTCTCGAGTGCGGCCATCTCGTTTTTGACGTTCTCATCAGGTGAGCCGCCCTTCTGCGCTGGCGTTATCCAGAAACCCAGTAGCAGGTTTGTCTTGGAGACAACAGCAGCATCAAAAGCTTCGGTCGGCTCGTCGAGGGTTTTCGCTGCTCTGCAAGTAAACAGGCGGGCACTATCGAAGGGTATGTCGGTAGTCAGATTCTTGGCCAGGTTGAAGCCATCGAGAAAGTCTGCTTTCTGCTTGGCATTTTCTTCAAGACCCCAGAAGGCACCGTAGTTGAAGCCTGTATAGACCTGACTCGCGGCCTGCGCAAGGCAAGGAAATAAGAGACAGTAAGAGAGGAAAAGCTTCATTTCGTTGTGCAAGTCTTCTCAAAGCGGATTCGGATAGGATATTACATAGAAACAGAGGAGGAAAGTAATAGAGGAAATCCATCCAGTAAGTACGACTGAGACTTGAATGTCCATGATGTTAGCTTGAGCGATGTGATGGGCTACGAAGTGTGACAATAGGACGTCGTTGAACAATACCTATTCATCATTATTCACGCAGGTGATCGTGCCTCTACACAAATAGACGAGCAAATAGATACCAGATTTCTGACGAGTGAATGGGTAGTCGCAAATGATTTATCGTGCGCTGACATGAATGCACCTTCGACTGCAAGTTCAGGTAGATGCTGCGCCGACTGGATCGGAAACGATCGTCTCGTCTTGCAAGGCCAAGAGCTAAGAAGGCTTAAACGGAGTCATTGAGAGCAATGACAATGGCGGGGGAGAAGAGATGGGCGCTGTTGTGGGGACAAGACAGTAACCAATGACGAGCGAGATGATGCAACGCCCTGGAGTCGGAGAAGCGTCCGTCCCCGCGGCCTCCGAGCTCGCATCGATAAATTATCAGGAACAGCCAGCCGCCACGGAAGGAGCAGCCAGCCCGCCACCATGTCTCTCGCACGTTTTGGAGGTGCTCTCGCGCGCGCAAGGTGCTCCCCGCGGCCGCAATGGCACGCAGCGTATGTCCCCAAGTCCACCACACGTCCGACTCGCCAGTCTAATTGCTTGCAGACGTGCGCTTTCCAGCTCCGCCATCCGCACCGCCAAAGCCGACAATGAGCTCAATTCGGTCAGCAAGCACATCACCCAGCCCAAGTCGCAGGGCGCCTCGCAGGCTATGCTGTACGCCACCGGCATGAGCGAGACGGACATGAACAAGGCCCAGGTCGGCATCTCGTCCGTCTGGTACTCGGGCAACCCGTGCAACATGCACCTGATGGACCTGAACCACAAGGTCAAGGAGGGTGTCGAGCGGGCCGGACTGCTGGGCATGCAGTTCAACACCATCGGTGTTAGCGACGGCATCTCCATGGGCACAAAGGGCATGCGCTACTCGCTGCAGTCGCGCGAGATCATCGCAGACTCCATCGAGACAGTCATGGGCGGCCAGTGGTACGATGCGAACATCTCCATCCCTGGCTGCGACAAGAACATGCCCGGTGTCATCATGGCCATGGGACGTGTAAACAGGCCTTCCCTCATGGTTTACGGCGGCACCATCCAGCCCGGTTGCGCAAAGACTCTCGAGAACCAGCAGATCGACATCGTTTCCGCTTTCCAAGCATACGGCCAATTCATCACAGGCGAAATCACCGAAGACCAGCGATTCGATATCATCAGGCACGCCTGCAACGGACAGGGTGCTTGCGGAGGAATGTACACAGCAAACACAATGGCTACGGCAATCGAGACAATGGGCATGTCGCTACCTGGCTCTTCGTCGAACCCGGCGAACTCCAAGGCGAAGATGCTGGAGTGCCTGGCAGCGGGTGGCGCCATCAAAAAATTGCTCAAGGAGGACATCCGCCCGAGCGACATTCTCACCCGCGAAGCATTTGAGAACGCCATGGTCGTCATCAGCATCACTGGTGGCTCAACCAACGCTGTTCTTCACTTGATCGCGATCGCTGACTCTGTTGGTCTCAAGCTTACCATTGACGACTTCCAGAGCGTGAGCGACCGCATTCCATTGTTGGCGGATTTGAAGCCTTCCGGAAAGTACGTCATGGCCGACGTTCACGATATCGGTGGCACCCCGTCGCTTCTCAAGTTCCTGCTTAAGGAAGGACTTCTCGATGGTAGCCAAATGACTGTGACTGGTAAGACACTCAAGGAGAACTTGGAGAACGTCAGAGATTTCCCCGCCGAGCAGAAGATCATCCGACCGCTCAGCGAACCTCTAAAGTCCTCTGGTCACTTGCAAATCTTGAGAGGATCTCTTGCCCCTGGAGGCTCCGTAGGCAAGATCACTGGCAAGGAGGGCACCCAATTTACCGGCAAGGCCAAGTGCTACGATGCTGAGGATGACTTCATCACTGCTCTCGAGCGTGGTGAGATCAAGAAGGGCGAGAAGACCGTCGTTGTCATCCGCTACGAAGGTCCCAAGGGCGGCCCTGGTATGCCTGAGATGCTGAAGCCTAGCTCCGCCATCATGGGCGCTGGTCTCGGCAAGGATGTCGCACTCATCACAGACGGTCGCTTCAGTGGCGGTAGCCACGGCTTCTTGATCGGTCACATTGTTCCTGAGGCGCAGGAAGGTGGCCCTATTGGCTTGGTTCAGGATGGCGATGAGATCACCATCGACTCCGAGTCCAACGAGCTGAACATCGGCGTCAGCGAGCAAGAACTAGCAGAGAGGCGGAAGAAGTGGACCGCGCCCGCCTTGAAGTACCAGAAGGGTACGCTTTTCAAGTACGCCCGATTTGTCAAGGACGCGAGCCAAGGCTGCGTTACCGACTCTGAGTAATCTTCACGTTTGAATGTCTCTCATGTTTGCATCTGTATGTATATTCTGATGGCTACAGCTGGGGTAAAAGTCATATCCGGAGTTCGGGCGGGCGATGTTTGTACATTCGACACAATGTTATCGATATAGCCATTCGATCTTCAGCATCCTCCTTCATACAGACTGTCATCACCACAACGTCTTGAGCTTGATCTTCCGTCGGCTGCACAGCCTCTTATTCAGCGCTCTGTCTTCCAGGTTCTGACCACACTGCTCCAAGCGAGTCCTTCATCATAACCCAGAGCCAGCCCTTCGAATCACCAACAACATCGCACATGACTTCGTCCACATCTGTCCCGAGCACTGTGTAGAAGCTCCTCGCTCAATGCATCAACACCGGTAACGAATCCAGTGTCATCATGCTCGAAAAAACCCGGTCCTCTTCAAACTTCAGCCTACGCAACTATGCCTGGTATCCTCAAAGCAGCTACACTGCAAGGTTCGTCATCTTCACGGTATGGCAACATGGTAAAGGTGTTCGAATGTTCCGAGTAGTGAAAGTATCTGGTAAGCAGCAAGAGGTGCAATGCCTCCTTGGTCAGCTCATAATGCCAGCCCTTACTGACAAAGGAGCATCAGTAAAAGCTGACCGCGGTCTTGGTGGGGCTGGATCTAGAGCGGTATCGAAGAGGGATAGCCGTGCTCTTCCTCCACTCGAGCCTGTATGCCACGAATGGACAATTGCTTTGCAAAGTGGTGAAGAAGGCTGTATTATGTCAAATGTAAAGAAGATACGGAACCAGTGAGGAAGAAGGGAATGCTATCTAAAGACAAGGGCTGTATAATGAGCTGTTATCTGAGTTTGACAAGGCTGTTGGCATCCTGGTACATTCGGTCCCTGATCAGTGATAAAAAGCAAAGACAGGCACGGCATAAAGTTCCGATACGAAAAACAATAGAATATGCGGGATCATCTCCCGTAAAGTTGCGGCAAGTTGGAACCCTGATCCATTCCTTGCCATGTTGTTCTGTGAAGATTGAGTTTCTCTTCCTCATGCCGGTGAGTGTTAAGAGTTTCGGAGGAAGGTGCGGACAGCTGGGCAGGTGAACGCATTGACCATCCTGCGTCGAGAACCACGCCTGGATTGTTTCATCACACACTTACACCTGCAGCCTCAGCTTCATCATGGCAAACTCCGCAACTTTAATGATTTGTTAAGGGGTCGCAGTGACCCAAGAGAAGACCCAAGTAAAGGTAATGCAGGGCGAGCAGTGTGACCTGGTTGCGCAGCTCCCGGGAGCATGGATTCCGCGCAAGATAGCTCATTTCTCCCCTGACCCGGTGTTTTGGAGTGTTTGTTGATGATCAGGTGTTCATGTTGGACAGTCAGGTACCTGCGCTGGCTGAGCTTGGATAGCTGACGATCATCGACAAAGGAGATGGGAGACCGGCGCAAAGCGGCAAGAGTGTGCCAACAACGAGGCGAGACGGCCATTGTTCATTACCGCTATCTTAGGATGGCATGGGAATGCGCTCGCATCGATGACCGGAAAGCTGTAAAGTGGGATATCGGCGAGCTGTATTGCCGGCCGTCGAGATACCTGCCGTTACAGCTCGAACGACAATCAAGAGTGGAGCTGATCTCCCTCGTTCCGTTAGCCGCGTCGATCATCGCGTCCGCTTTGGGCTGCCCTCGACGCGCTAGACAGAACTTGCCGATGACGCTGAACCATATGTTCCGAAAACGCAAGATCGACGTCTTGGAATGTAAGTCATGAAAGGTGCAGATCGTCAGGGGAGTCATCCATACAACGCAAGCCTAGGGTCACAGAAGACTGGATGAGGCAAGACAGATGCATCGTGAGCCTCACCACCTCGCAGATGGCCAGCAGGATGAGGCGAGTCCCTAATGAGACGGCAATCTGAGCACAATCACCGTTGGCTTCCGCAGTTTCCAGCCGCCTACAGATTCTCGCCCCAATTTCGAGTCCCCCGCGAGAACTAAGACGTGTCTTTGACATCTGTTGCGCAACCTGACTTACTCAAGCCCATGAGTAGCGTTCCGGAAGCTTGAAAGCCGGGATCTACCTCGAGATATGCGCTAAGGATGAGTGTCTAGTCCCCTTATCCTCTAGCATGCGTGGGCCATACCCCAGAGGATCAAATCTTACTCCTCAGCTAGGCCAACAAGCTTCAGAGCGGTCTACGTGCAAGAGCCTCATCAGCAACGGCAGTATCGGCGATGCTTTCATGAAGATCGCCAATGCGTGCGCCATGACTAGGCAAGCTGTAGCTCTAGTCTTCTCATCCTGGTATGGCTTGGTGTAGAATCTCTCCACCCCGGTGACGATTGCGGCTTGCCTTGGGCCTGAGCGTCTAGGAGAGTATCGATTGACTAGACGTGCTGACTCGGTGTATCAGAAAGTACCTGGGTGCTGTGAGGGCATATAAACCATACTGAAGTCCACCTACAATCATCATCCAGCTCACCTACCACACTCTTTCAGTTCTTTGCCAATCGCTCAGTTCGCTATAGACTAATAATACTTATCCCTCTTAATATCCACCAACCCACCAACAAAACTTCAACCGCCAACATGCGTTCCTCCATCGCCGTCAGCATCATTGCTCTCTCCACCTCGGTCCTCGCGGCCCCTACTCCTCAGGTTGCTGGCGTCAACAACCTTCTTGGTTCCGTCACCAGCACCCTCGGCTCTGTCACCAACCCCGGTGCCGGCAACGACAACCTCATCCAGGGCAACGGCAACAGCAACGGCCAGAACAACGGCAACGGAAACACTGCTGGCAATGGCAACGGCAACAACAACGAGGCTGGTAACGGCAACTCTGCTGCCAGCGGCAACAGCTTCAACCTCAAGCCCCTCGGCAGCAGCATCCTGAACAACGGAAAGCGTGCGGCGCTTCTCGACAACCTCAACGGCGTCCCGGTTGCTGGCACCATCCTCAGTGGCGTCACTGACGGCAAGGGTGGTCTCCTCAACGGTGTCACTGTCGGCCCTACCACCGACGGCATCACCAACGGTGTTCCCGTTGTCAATGGCCTCGTTGGCCGTGGTGTCACTGAGGGCCTTGACGTCAGCCAGCTGAGCCAGACCCAGCTCCTCTCCCTCCTCAGCCAAGTCACCGGCGCCCTCCAGAACACTGGCAACACTGCTACTGGCACCGTCAAGCCGGTTACCGACGCCACCGTCCCAGTGACAGATGCTGTCAAGCCTGTCGCAGCCGCTGCCGGAGATGCCGTGAAGCGTCAGTTGAACGTTGGTGGTCTCACTGGCACTGCCGGCGGCCTCGTTGGTGGTGTTACTGGCACCACTGGCTCCGTCACTGGTGCTCTTAAGCCCGTCACTGGTCAACTCCAGCCCGTCACCGGCACTCTCAAGCCCGTCACCGGTGCCACCGGAGGCCTGACTGGAGATCTTCTCAAGCGTCAGTTGAACCTTGGTGGTGTCACCGGCACTGCTAACGGCCTCGTCGGCGGTCTTACTGGCTCCACTGGCTCTGTCACTGGTACCCTCAAGCCCGTCACTGGTCAGCTCAAGCCCGTCACTGGTGCTCTCAAGCCCGTCACCGGTACCCTCCAGCCTGTCACCGGTACCGTCACTGGCGCTACTGGAGGCCTCACTGGCGATCTCCTCAAGCGTCAGGTCGACCTCAACAGCGTTACTGGCACCGTCAGCGGCCTTGTCGGTGGCATCACCACCACTGCTGGCTCTGTCACTGGCGCCTCTGCCGGCAGCGGAAACTCGCTCCTCAACAACGGCAACAACAACGGCCAAGGCAATGGCGTAAGTCTCCTTCCAACACCCCCTATCTCGACTGTCAACTAACATCACCCTTAACAGAACAACAACCAGGCCGGCAACGGTAACGGCAACGGAAACAGCGCTGGAAACGGCAACCAAGCCGCCAGCGGCAACGACTTCAACGTAAGTCCCGAGACTGAGCTTCCTGAGATCAACGGCCCGCTCGTCGAGCTGCCTGACCTCAACATCGCTCCCACGATCAAGTCAGTCTAGTCTAGATCATTGGGTAGTAGCTAGGGGTTCATAACATGTGCTAACGGTCTCTCGCAGCTTTAAGTGAAGGCGACTATGAATTGAGTGCGATATACTCGGGACGACTTTCCTTTCTACGATGACGATGGCATACCCTGGTTTGCTGGATCTCTATACATATTTAGTTGTAGTACCAATGTACTTTTTTGACCACTGAACAATTTGCATTTCATCCGATTGTTCCATGCGTGATGGCTCAGTAACTGGAGTCCCCAACAGCTTTACACACCTTCAGTCAACGACAGAGGCTACAGTCCTAAGATTCACCATTTTCATGCTTCTACGTCCATCTCCACATGTACTTCCGTACCACGTACTTGGAGCTGTCCTGTCGAATTGCTACTGGCAATGTATGGAATTCCCGATATCATGAGGTCTACAAACAATGAAAACTTTATTCGGCCAGTGTCTACCAGCATATACGGCAGCAGTTCATACGGTAGCAGTAACATCACGGCAGTCGTGCACGGACACACCTTTGGAAATCAATGTCCTGTATAGTCCTTTACACAAGGTAGGAATTGATGAAGATAATTAACGTCATTAGGTATTACTTGCTCCTGTTGTGCTCCAAAAACACCGTACGCGTAATAATTATTTTGCGCCGTGCTTAGTGACCACCAGTAGTGGGTAGCTATCAAATAATTAGCACAATGTCCTTGAACGTGTTTGGGTGAACAACTTACGCCGAGATAGACCTTGAAGGAATCGTAGATGAGCCATTGGAAGGCGGTCAAAGTACCAATCATGAATATACGAACAGGCAGTCCGTTCCAAAGGCCACCGAAACCGATCTTGCCGTATATCCTGCCGATAGCCTGACCAGCGCCCTCGCCAGCCTTTCGGTCGCTGTTGAGCTTCGAGACCATCACGTCTAGTATATGTTAGCTCGCTTTCGCGACTCTTGGGTCTTTACACAATGTTCTCAACGTACCTGCGGGATGCGAGACAACTGCACATCCGACACCAGCAATATATCCACCGAGGAAGCTCACACCGGTTTGCTGCAAGGCCCCGTATGACTCCTTTGGCTTACCCAAGAAGCCGTAGATTTGTTTGACTGTCTCTTCGAATGTCGCGAACTTGACCATGGTGTACGGGATTTGACGCGCCCACAGAGGGTACAAGCCCTTGTACAAACCACCAACACCCTCCTCCTTGATCACCTTCGCCCAGCCTTCTCTCAGTGTGTTTGCGAACGGTGGCATGGTAGTCTGCATGCGGACCTTGATTGCTTCCATAGGACATAGCGCGATGTCGGCGAGGAACTCGGCGGAAGCGGAGGCAGCTAGGTATACGACTGTTTGCGGCGCGCCGGGCGCCAGCTTTTCGCCGTACAGGTATTTGAATACCTCGTAAAATCCGTACTTTCCAGCACCTTGCATCGAGTAACCGATGAAGGTTGGTGTCCAGCCGAAGAAGACGCCCCGTAGACCTTCTTTGGAGTAAATCATTTTCCAGGCTTGTGAGTTGGACTTGTAGAGGTTGGAATCGACTTGACGGCGGCATTTCACCTGGAAAACATTAATTAGCAACTGAAAGCCTAATTGACAGCCTGTAAAGTCCCCAGGCCATCACGCGCTCTCTGCAAAAGTATGCGACTTACCAAATCTAGCGGCGTGACCATAGTGTGTGTAGGTCCACACGCGATTATGCCACCCATCGTACACGCCGCAAAGTACGAGCCTGAGAAGAGCTCGATCTTTCTCTGCGGCTTCATCGCGTCCAATTTGTTGGCCATTGTGAGTGATTACCGAATTCCAATCGCTTCAATCGCGTTTATGGGCTTGTTTTCGCGTACGGTATGGTAGCTATCGTCGTGTCCGCGCCGGTTGACTGGTATAATCGTTGTCGCGTGCTGCTTCCCAGGATGCTGTCGCAAGCGAAGAAGAGATTGAGGATTTGTACAAAGGATAGACGAACGCTGATTAGAAGAGAGAACGGGAGATCGGATTAGACTACCTAGGCACAAAAGCCGACCGGGGCGCCTTGTTATGACCGCACAGCTTGGATAGTTGGAAAGCTTGTCCGCAGCTTCCGCAATTACCTCGCTATGACGTCGCTGCTGCAGGTGGGACGCGCGACCACCACGCTGACGAAGCCTAGCGTGATGCTTATCGATACATGAACCCCCGACCCTCCGCGCGCGAACTGTCGGGTTTCGCTGCCAACAGCGCAATGAAAATCCCGTTCTGCTATGTTGAATGTCAATCAACTTTGTGATAAATGCGGAGGGAGAGAAATCATTCCAAATTTCTTCACGTTGACTTCGTACGAACTAAGGTCCGCGACTTACTCGACTGCTCGGGCAGCTTCACGCTGGAGAAACAAGATGTTATTATTTGCGTGATAATCATTATTATTTGCTGTGTCGTGAAGAGGCTGAAGGTCGTCAAGCGTGATCGTCATACCTGGTCTTTAATATACAGACTCCCCCCGTCTAAGTACGCCAAAGCACCACGCTATGCCTCCCAAGCATGAACAATAAAGCAAAGAATGATGAAGAACCGAAGCCAAAACGCCAATGCCAGGGTGCATCACCTGCAGTCCACATGAAGCATCAATCCCTATCAATGACTCCGTCGAAGACCCGAAATGTGCAGGGCTCAAAAACCGTCTGCATATGCTCTCATGCTCTCATGGAACCCATGATTCAATCCCCACCACCCTGAAATCTCGTTGAAATCGTGATTCGCTCATCTGGTAACAATGCGAGCCTCAAATCTTCGCTGAAGGGCCGCTGCTGGCGCCGCCATACCACAAAGAAGCGAAGATAATGAGGGGATGGAGCTGGGTAAATTGCGGGCGGACGGAAGGCCACCCAACAATTACATGTTGTTATCGTGTATGTTGTCAGTCTCTGAATCACTACCAAAGTCGGAATGATCATAGAGATCTTCCGCTGATAGGCCATCGTCCTGTGGCCATGTCTCTAGCCTTGGCTCTATCTCTCCAGTCCAGTGTGCAATTCGAGAGCTGTCGTTGGTGTCGTCTCTGTATGGATCCAATTCGGGATCCTCGCTATGGATCAGATCGTAGAGCTGCTGAACGAGAAATCGGCAAGTTTCGATGAGAGGAGATAGATGAAGTTTGAGCATGCCGTGATCCTTCTCGTACAGAATGCGCTCCATCATGTCGGTGGCCATCTCGCGGAGTACTCTCCACCTCATTTGCACCAGATCTAGAGGCCATCCTTCGTAGCTCTTGTATAGCTCGCAGACCAGCATATGTGCACCTTTTCGCACACTGTCTTGTGCGTGTAGCAGCAAAGGAGTGGCCCATATGCGGCTTTTCGCGATGATCCATGTGAAAAATATGTGTCGGTGCTTTTGTTGAAAGATGGCCGCATTCTTTGTTTGCAGAAGACCGCCAACAAAATCCAGAACCGCCAAGCCTCCTGGTACACGGTCATCGTCCATTCTACTGGCTGACGCGACCGCCTTCGAAACCGTTGTCACGATCTTGTAAACGTTGTCCACCATCGGAGAGCTCTCGCAATACGAGAGTGCCGCTTTCACGTAAGAATCGCAGAAAGGGGCTTCGAGGGAGACACCCTCGTAGATGCTCTTCAAAAGATTAGTCTGGACTTGTGGGTCCTGCCAATTGAGCATCGATTTGACAATATCGCCCGGGTGGAAGTGTTCCAACTTTGTCTCATCGAACATTTCCAAGGCCTTGTCTAGAACCGCGATCGCCTTCAGGTCGCTGTCCCAGTGGTACAGAACTTGTCGTTCATGGAATGTTAGTGGAAACCTCGAGGTCTCCCGATCCAGCGTAGACAGACGATCGTGCTCGTGGCGAAGAGGTTGCAGACTCGTGTTCATGCGTGAGAGCAACGCTGATACGAATCCAATGAACCTGTTGTAGATACCCGACTTCTTGCTTATGATTCTCCAGAGATCGGGTTGGTCGTCCTGGAATCTAGCGTACGAGTGCATGCAGAGTAGCCTCAAGCAGAATACCAGGAAGCCATGGTCCAATAGAAGACCGGTTTCCAGATGGCCCATCTCGGCCAGTTGAGTCAGCGTGAGATAGAAATCATCCCAGCCCCGTACGGCCATGTAAGATTCGTCTGCAATGGCACGTAATCTAGCGGTAATCTCGGAAAGTATACCGTTTGTCGGAGTGGAAGATTCCAGATCCATCTCGTTGTCAGCGCCCTCTAGACCGTACAGAGCGGGCTCTTTCTCTCGCAAGACTTTGAGACAGTCAATGAAAAAGCTGCGCATCTGGGACCGCACTTTAGCATGCATGCAGCGAAGAAGCATGTTGAGAAGGGCAATATCGTCGGTAGCGAGTATCTTGAGAACGATATTGCAGCAGGTTGAGCATGGAAGGACCGACCGCCGCAGCTGCAGTATCGTCTCGGAGAAGATATCGGCATTTGTATGACGCCAGACGATGTGCCCTAGATGCGCAAGTACTATCTGCAAGGAGTGCTTTTCCTGTAGGAGGTTAGCGTCTCGGACTTAGTAGGTTGAAGATAACATGGCGTACCTGCGTGTGGCCTTCGGAGCAAGAACCGTGGTTGAGTGTACGTGACATAGCATGCAGCTGCCGCACGAACCTTGTATGATTGGGGTCGAAGCGGGAATATTCTCGGATAAACAGCTCGTTGGCAGAATCAACTTCCTTCTGGAGAGTTGGCGGCATGGGAACCTTGAGCGTTTTCCCGTCTGCAGAAGTGACCCACTCACGCTGGTCATCATCCACAGCGGTGCGGCGTTGATAGAAGAGCATATATGCCGAGTATTGTTTTGGTATGCGGTTGTATGAATCGTCCGTGAAGCCTCCGAAAGCTTTGTAAGCAATGTCTGCTGGGTCGAAAGACCCAACACTGCTATCATCAAATTCCACCCAGGTTTGTGCCGTGGTTCCTGTGGGACAAGGTCGCTCACGAATGTAAGAATAGTAATGACCGTGCTCGCAGGTGCCCGTGTGTACGAGCACACCAACAAGATCGAACATATCGGCTTCTTTTGGCTTGCTTGGGTCACTGAGATGGTCGACATGGTATGCGCTAATGTCAATGGTCGGTGGGAACTCGAAATAATCGTAGACCTTCCTACGGCTAAAATCGGCCAGGTCGAATTCGAAGCGCTTTAGGTGGAAGATGAGGTTGTCGGGCACCTCCTTGAAACAGGTCCTGATTTTGTCAGCTTCTTGCTTTACCAAATACACATGCGACTCACCGCTTGACTGCGTCGACGTATTTGCCGTCGCACTTCTCGCACTTGTACTTGTTGTCGCCTTCCATGACATCGCCTCTAACAAAAGCCTGGAGACTCTCCTGTAGCGTTGCTTTGCCCAAAACATCGCATTGTATTGCAAAGAAAGGCTCTGATCGTTCCGAGACATGCTCACATTCCTTGGATTTGATCTGATTCAAGGTTTGCCCTCCGTAGAATGAGCGAAATTGCTGCTTGTGCTCGTCCTTGATGAGCTGTCGTTCCCACTGATCGAAGAGGGAATTGTAGAATTCATCTGCGTCCATCTGGACGCTGATGTCTATTGGCATGAGTTCTGAGTTCCTTACGCAAGCTGCAAAGCTCCGGGGATCCGCGGCTTTGCGGAAGGAATGCTGCATGTTCGTGAACAGTCTCTGGGTCTCAAGAAGAAGTTTTTGAGAGCCACTGGCTTCCTGAAGCTCCAAACCGAGAAAAAACTTGCGGAAATTGAGGTTCATGAAGAGCTGCGTGAGAAGCGAGTTCGCGTAGCAGATGGCACGAGGGTTGTACAGACCCACATAGCCTGTGCTAGAGCGTATTTCCAAGGAGCGATCGACTGCAAGCGTTGGTATTGCTGGCTCATTCTCCTCGGTCTCTACGTCTGCTGCAAGTTTGACCAGGCTATTGTACGTGCTGCTATCCTCAGCTAGTGCAAGCATGAGATCGTACATCTCATGCCTTGTGTGAGACTCCAGTATGGGAGCAGTGGCTGCGCTGACCACTGCAGTAGAGGAGCTGGGCCTTGTCAGTATGTCACTTGACTAAAAGAAGAGAGGGTAAGATGCAAAACTGAGGTGAGGTCAATGCGAACAAGCGAAACATGGAAATGATGTGCGTGACTTACCTCTTCGTAAAGATGTACTTCCTGAAGATCTTTTCCATCAAGTCGCCTGCACCAAGAGGCTTCTTAAAAGACTTGAGTGACAGTATGCAGCACAGTATGAGTTTCGTAAGCCCAAAAACGACGCGGTCGATGTCGTCCCGGCCGACAAATTCCTGATGTTGGTGATCCAAGAGCAGGTCGCTCCAAGATGTTAGGTAAAGTCGGAGTGAAGGTTCGTCCCGTTTGTACTCGTCCTTCGCCCGGAAGACTTGCTCGGCAATGCTGAACAGTTGCTGTGATTGAGCGGGAACGCACAATGAGCCCGGAATGAGCTCGGAAATGACTGCCCAGAATTGTGTGGCAATCTCGCCTTTAGTGATCGGACATGTGGATGGAAGGTCGCCACCGCAGACGGATGTGATCTTCTGAGCGACATGCTCTCGCACAGACTGCCTGGGGTCGCTCAACAGTAGAACCCGGTGGAGTCGCGGAGTTTGAGGATGCTCAACGAACGCTTCCCAGATAACTCGAGAGTGGAGTGAGGCCTCTAGGATAGTGCCGTAACAATCCTGGATTACGGTAGCATCTTCATTTGTTTCCAGTGCCATGCATAGGATCGCCACAAGGCGGTTTCCGAGCCGTGCGCCATCTGAGAAGTAAGCAGCCGAAGCGGCGGGAGAAGGACGTTCTGCTTAACATGAGCCATGAACCGTGATATAAGACGCGCCAGTGTGAAACTTACCTCTAAGGAACTCCAACAGAGCATGCACGAGTACCGCTGCAAGCTGCAGCTCTTGGAAGCTCGAGATGTTGTCGCTGATGAGCCGAGGATTGAGAAGAGCCTCGTTCAACTGGCGTATGGCATGGCCCAGGAACTTCTCGTCCAGATTAGACTTCTAGCTCGTTAGTACAACTGTATCAATAAGTATTGTCGGACCAACGCACATGACGGATTTGCTCTGCCAGCCTCGCCTCGAGAGCCAAAGCGGCGTATCTCGCCTGATAGAACTTCCCTGGAGGGAAGAGCTCCTCTGATAGCGCCGCACCGGTCACGACGCTCTCTGCAAAATTATACCGCGCCGGAAAGAAGCTCAAGTAATCAAATAGCTGCTTGTGTCAGTGAAATGCATCTTGATCTCGAACGGGTACCTACCATCTGACTGATGTTGTCATCAGAGTCCATTAAGGAGAACAGTTCGTCGAAATGCTTGAGTACGGTAGATTCGAACACCGAAGACCCCGTACCCTGTCCGGGCATCGGGCGAGTGACTTCCGCGTCTGGTGCCCTTTGTACTAACAGCTGTCCCCCAAAGTCGACGCCATTAAGCTTCTCGTTCGACATCTCAGTGATGTTGAGCCGCCGACCCTTTGCGAAAAGGTTGATTTTGGTGTATCCCGATACGTGACATAATCTTTGGTAGAGGTCCTTTACTGTATGATCCGCACCCATCATCACGACTTGCCTGTCGTTGCCGCACTGAAACCGGATCGCGATCGCGTCACCGTAAGGTATGTCTGTTTCGTCGACTTTGGAATCTGCTCTCCGACTTCGGTTGAACTCTGGTTTGTGGCGTATCTTCTCCAGCAGTAGTTTCTGAAAGTTAATGATCCTGCGATAACGCTCTTCATTCTCAAGAACCATCTTCTCAGTTGCAGTGACATCCATATTCGATAAGTCTCCATTGGAGGATTGAGCGCGTATGAGCCTGCATGCCGAATGCATCTCCTGCATACATCTTTCCACTAGAACGACATGAGCGGCTTCCACATCTGCTAGCATAACGCCATCGGCTTCGTTGATCTGTACGTAGCGACTGGCAAGAAGACGGGCGGCGCGATCCTCAATAGTGCCTTCCGGTGAGGATAAAACCATGGACCACAGCACGTCTGCACCGGGGATCTGTAACACACCCTTTTCTCCTTGATCAGTCCCCACGAGCTGCCGCTTCATCGGGAAATTATAGTTGGCAACAAATTCGAACATGCCATTCGTGTAAATTCCGGTGTTCATGTGTACCATATGGGAAGAGACAAGTTGTCTGCAGTAGTTGTTGTCCGGGGCGAATTTGAGCGTCTGGGATAATTGCGCCCATGCCAAATCCCTGGTAGTGTTCGATAGCGCACGCGTACCGATTGTGTAGTCCCACAGCTGCTCATACATCTCAACGGGTATGGCTGACCCAGCGCAACAGATCATAAGTGCTAGAAGCTCCAATCTGCAACATAGAGCTGTTTGTTGACGTAGGGATGATTCGGCATTCCTCTCAGTCTCGACAAACCATGCGATCTCATCCAGAATCTTGCGTGTGACATCCTGATTCTTTTGGAAAAAATTCTCGTCTTCAGAAGGGATTGGTGCGGCGAGCGCGTAGATGACTTTTGCGCTTCCAGTGGCTTTCGTCGAATGACTGTAAATGTGATCCGCACAATCTCTGTAGATGGAATGGCGCTCTTCAACAGAGACATTAGGAGCCAGAGCTGACAGGTAATTAGCAGCCTCGTGATGCAGGTCTAACATGTCTTTGTCCGTATCCGCCTGGCACATTGTGTCGCGGATGATGCGGGTGCAAACATTCCATGGCCTAGCAGTATCTTCTCTCGCAGCATAATCTTCCGGTGATGCTTTCTCCAAGATCTTTGGGCCCAGCTCCCGCAGGAATCGAGTAATATCCACGGTGTAGCTCCTGATAGGCAATTCATAAAGTTTCGTACAAAAGTACAAGTGATTTGCAGGCCTCATCATGTGCATGATTGCTCTAAGCATGGCCAGTGTCGCGGTAACGACACGAGGGTCAGGACTATTGGCAACGGTGTTCCAGATAGCATCCGCTTGGTCATCTGTCCAACGTCTAGTTACGACAAGAAAACCAACGATGTTACCGCTGCGCGCGATCAGTTGCGGGTGTGAGTCGACGCTGACAATGTAGTCAACGACGTTCCCATAAAGCAGAAAGTCGGCTAGATATCGCATGACGGGGTGTTCGCCTGTCGAATCGGGGTTGCTGTACTGTCTCCAGATCTCTACCAAGGAAACATCCATCATAGCTATACTCATGACGCGTAGATCCATCTTACCTTTGGTGAGGTATCGGCGCAGAAGCTTGAACTTCCAAGCGTTGGCGACTAAAGCTGGAAAGTACTGAGGCTCATCGCGATACTGGTGTTCGGGTCCAGTACGATCGACTTCGGTCGGAGAGGAAGTAGTCGGCGAATCTACGCTCCTGAAGTCGAGGAACTTATCCACCAGATCCGATTCGATATCCTTATCCCAGAGACAGAGCTCAAATAATAGCGCGTGAAAGTACTGAATCAAGTCTCGAGCGGAGACAGCATCGGTGGTTCTACTCAAGTCGAAGAGGTCGTCCATGTATTTCTCCAAGAATTGCAATATTCCGCGACAGAACTCGGAGCGATTGGGGTCAGTCGCAGGGCTAGGATCCTGGAACATCGAGCCGCCCAATGAAGTCAGGACCGGGGCGGCAACCAACGCAATCTGGGTTTGCACGCTCAATGGCACGCGGTGGAAGGCCTCGCTGGATAGCCGTAAGATATTTTGGGCACCGTTGGCAGCCATAAAATCCTTTTGTAACAATCCGATCATTTTGCGAACATCGACAGAATATTCTTTGCTCACCATAGCGAATGCAGGTGCCTTGTCCGGGCGAAGAATGGTATACCAGTTTCGCATATGCTTCTGACTAAGAAGAGGCAAAGAATATATCTCGCCGGGACGAGGTTGGGAGAGTAGCCATACGTCGGCGAGGAGGAGGAGGGAGCATGCCCTGACGTAGGCACTGAGGAAAGCGTAGAACATGTCGCCCGCACGACGATCATCCAAATGGTGGCTAAACGTAGCCCTGCGTGAGAGCAAATTGTGCACCAGTCCAGCGAGGTCGTCCCAAAACATGGCCTTGCTCGTATAGAAACCGTGTAAGTCTACCTGGGGGCCAGGCTCGGGTAGATCGGTCAGCCATTGCGAAATGCTGGGAAAGAAGTGGGGATCGATGTCGTTGTCAACTGAAACATTTTAGTATCGCAGGCGTTTAGTGGATGTGAGACATGACTTACCTCCTTGAACGTGGTTGGCCAGGTCGCGAACAACCGTGGAGTAACTCCCGTGGTGTGCGTAGGGGAACCGGCGAAAATAATCTTCTGCGTCCACCTGCACGGAGAAGGCGTCTGCTTCATCGTCGTCGTCTATTATCATGATGGGCGGACTCCCGCGCTCGTCCTCGGAACTAGTAATGAGTATTGGAGACTGGCCCGGGGTAGGAGAAGCAGCCTCGAGGAAGTTGTCAGGATTGGTGTAGTCCTCATCTCCACCGTGTACCGGAGAAGAGGGCGGGTGTGAGCGTATTGTCATTTCTACCTGCTTTTCCGAGGGCGACATGGCGGTGTTGACGGGAGTTTGTGGGTCGGTAGGCATAGCGCATAGACTGTTGCTCCCGCTGTGTAGGCGGGGGCGTTTGCGGGTGAAGCTTGCGTCGGCGTCTTCAATCGAGTCGCGGCGCGGCGGCGAGGCAGAGGCGGTGGTTGGCGGCTCGTCTGCAGCGACAGGCTGCACTGTGTCGTTGTCCGGCGCGGTCATGACGGTAGAGGGCAGGCGGTGCTGTTTGCGAAAGGACTAGGCGTGGCCGGCGACTGTTAACACGCGTGCAGGCAGGTGAGGCCAGGCAGAGGCAAGCAGTTCCCCAGTACAGGCAACAGCAGCAGCTCCCAGCCTTAGTGACCGATAGCCCCGCGCGGCGGCAGGGAAAACGCGGGGGGATTGGGTCTCATTAGCGTCAGCGACTGCAACACAGTGAATTGAGGGTATGCGCTCCGAAGGAAACGGTTCCAGTTGGTAGGCAGAGCTTCAGATATTCGGACGCGTAGCTGAGAAACCCCACTATCGTCATCCTGGTTCGTTCCCGCTGTGGAGCTAGCGCGCCGCTAGCGAGCGTGCGCTAAGCCTTATCCGTCCAAGAGCGAGAAATCCTCCTTCTAATGCAAGGCACGCCGGTCTACTCCACCTTACAAGTCTCACTTATCTAGACTGAGTACTGACAAGGCTTCGGGCGCACTTCGGTCAGCTTGAAAACTACTTTTGCTGTTTCGACGTTGACGACGTGACCATCACCACGGTCAGTGGTACGAGGAAGAAGGGTCAGAGAGCACACAATTCGTCATGGCCCCTGCGACGAAACAAACCGCGAAGGCCAACGCAAAACCTGTGTTCAAGACATCATCGCCATTTTCTGAGACGCAGTGGTGGGTGGTACTATGCCTCAACCCACGAGCTATGCTGATTTGTACAGGCCCGAGATCACACGCGAGGACGAAGAAGTCATATTAGAATTGCTATCCAAGTAGGTACGCAGAGAGGAGCTTCATGAACCCGCGCTCGCCGATTTCTGACAGTTGCATCACAAGTTCTCCCAATTCGGTCATTAACAATTCCATAGTCTTATTACGCCTTTAGGTGACCATCGCAGAACCTATATCCACCCATCCAAAGGCAAGAAGCGCAAACGTAACACCAAGGCAAACGAGGAGGACCCCGAGAACACACCCCCATCACCGGAAATTGGCAATCACTTGCTCGTTGGCATCAACAGTGTCACTCGGCATCTAGAGGCCTTGGCCGCAGAAAACGCTCCGACTACAGCACCTGTTTCGTATCCCGAGTCTGCTCTAGAGGGCACCAAAGGAAAACCCCCGACGACAGACTGTTCCAAAGAATCTCTCAGACCTTTAAGCATGGTCATACTAACACACCCCAAGCCCTCATTATCACCCGCACATGCCCACTTCCCAACGCTGGTCCACTTGTCGGCTCTCTCCCCATCGTCTGCTGCTTCGGCCACATCCGAGACAGCTACACGACTCATTCCATTGCAGACAACAGCGGATACCCGGCTCGCATCTAGCTTACACGTTCCCCGTGTAGGTGCCATGGGAATTTACGCAGGTGCGCCAGGAGCGAAAACATTGGAGCTATACGTCCGCGAGCACATTGGGCTGACAGAATGCAAGTGGGTCGGCGAGGCTATGAGCGCAGAGTGGAAGGGATTGAATGTCAATAGCGAGATCCCTGGCTCAAAGTAGGTGACCATATAAGGGCAAAAATAATATTGGGTTCTTTGATATAGAAATATTTCGACGCTCGTGAGGGATCAACAAAACGCCTGCAATGCATATCTTCAAGTTCAATAGCTGCTCCTGGTAGATCAGTGATTGTTCGAAGAAAAAAGAGTACTGCGCTCATCCCAGGAAGTTCTGGACAGCACCTCCGACGTTCTGAAGATCTAGCAAGAACGTGTCATGGCCGAATAAGCTCTTCTCCTCTCCAAGCTCGATGTGCGTGACGTTCTTGTTGCCAGTGCGCTTGAGTGTCGTTGCAATTTCCTTCTGCTGCCAAGCAGGGAAAAGAATATCACTGGCGACACCTAGAACAAGAGTTGGAGTATTCGCGAGTGGCTTCAGACCTGCCACGAGGTCGGCCGGTGGTTCGTTTCCGTCAGTCTGAGCTACAGCATCGATGTCGGCGGGCTGCTCCTTCTCCTCATAGGGCTGATCAGGCAAAGTCAGACTGCAGACGTCGCTGCTGGTGTCGGATGTGATATCATGGCCGTCCAAGTATGCCTGCATTTTACCGCTGTTCGCCTTGCGCACCTCGTTGATGCGGTTACGGTGCTCTTGTCCCAGATCGAATAGATCCATAGCCTTCGAAACGTAGAGCAAGCTGTTTGGATCGTACTCCAGACACCATTTTTCTCCCGCATGATCGAGGTATGTTTCAATGAGGAAGTCGGGGCAGAGAGCAGGTGGCCGCGAAGGATCGGCACGCCGGCGGCCAAATCGCTGCTCCCATTCGGGACCACTCCGATACGTGACTGTAGCGATTTCTCGGGCAAGCTTCATACCGCCGTGTGGAGGAATGCCGTCATAGTAAAAACCGCGAGCCCAGTTGGGGTCCATCATGAGTACTAGTTGCATGTCAACGATTGCGCATGGCTGACCTAGAGTGTTTGTACTGACCTTGCCGCTGAGTGTGTCTCATGGCGATACTGTATGGGTGGCTGCGCGCACATCCGCTGATGCTAACGAGACGGCCCACTCGTTCCGGGAAAAGCGTTCCAGCTGCCAGACTCTGCATGCCACCCATGCTCGATCCTACACTCGCGTACAGCTTCTGTATGCCGAGGTTATCCAGTAGTCGGAACTGCGCGCGTACCATGTCCTCCATTGTAAGAATCGGAAATCGAGTCGCGTAACGCTCGCCGTTCGCAGGGTCGATCGAAGAAGGCCCAGTCGAGCCGTAGCAGCCTCCAATGACATTTGTGCAGATGACGAAATACTTGTTGGTGTCTAGAGGCTTCCCAGGCCCAATGAACTTCTCCCACCACCCTGGCTTCGTATTCGTCTCTGTGCTGTGGGCATGACTAGATGCGGATAACCCAGTGTGCAGTAAGATGGCATTGCTCTTGTTGGAGTCCAGCTGCCCCCACGTTTCATATGCGATGTTGAACTCTGGCAGTATGCCGCCCCAGTCGAGCAGAATAGGCTGGGTCGAATGGAAGTTTAGCGTGTGTCCGGAGGTATACGAGGGCTCGGGCCCTGAGGACGCTCGTTTTCTTGAGAGAGACGCAGAGCGAGATTCGTGCGCGTCGAGGCATGGGAAGGATAGGGCGGGGTTTGAAGATTCGACTTCTTGGGCGGCAGCGGCGTGTTGGGCTTTCCGTGGTGTCTGCTGGTGCAGCTGTCTAGTAGCTTGGTTCGACTGCTGCCTCGCGAACAGCAGCGAAGTCTGAGATGGTCTCTTGGCGAAGCATCGAGTAGTGGTTGCGGTTCGTGATGCTCGCGCGCTGGCGAACAAACTACGGGGAACGCTCATGGCTGTAGCAGTTGCCCAGACGAAGCGCGTATGAAGGGCAGAGGTATGCGAGGGTGGAGACAGTACAGAGACACCATGATGACGCTATATTCACGATTACAAACGGGCTGGACCGTTGACGGACCCGTCGCGCGGAAACTGATGGGAATGCGACGATGTCGGATCCAATGACGTCGCGGGGAAATTGCGTGCTTCCCTCGCACGATGCCCGTCCTGCCAGCCTTCTTTAGGTAAGCACCCGCCTCTGCGAAGACCTCGGGAACATCACGCCAAAAGACACCGTGCGCAACATGACCGAATCGAGAGATATCGAACGGGGAAGCACATGTCGGTCCCCAGCGGAGATGTTCGGCAGCATAGCTTCTTGCGCATCACGCCTCGAGACCGCTCCTTGAACGAACCAAACGATAACTCAGCAGAACGCAAGGTGCAACTTGAGCTCCTACACCCATTCGCATTTTGCTAGGACCTACCTACATTTGGGGCGTTCATCAATGTCTGCAGTGCTTTTGCCGCACAGAACTTGAGGAGCACAAGAAATGTGCTAGCATGCAGTCCAGGACCTAAGATTCGAGAGCACCTGTATGTAGGCTCGCAATCGAGATGTACCATCCAAGTATTGCTTGGATCGCCTACATCACCAGGAAGGAGATAACCCGAGCAGTATGCATTGTAGTTTGGTTGATTCGAAGAGTACCAAGGTAGAATGTTCGGGCCTTGGAAACATCATGTCGAACTTAGGGCGATCGATCGAGCTCTTACGACAAGAACCGTGCACGTCTTCTAATGGGAAAAGGAGGTGCAGGGCGTGACCGCCATGACATGTTAGTTATTGAGTTGCAACAAGGGTCGCTTGTGATGGCGAGATACCGTAGCCGGCTCGTGACTCTAAGCGCCGTGCAAATGGGTGCTCAGGTGGTGTTGTACTGTGCCTAAGGCGTACACGGTGCATCTCTGCGTGACAGGTGATGGCGGCTGAAGATACATGGAAGGAAAACTGGACCGCTCCGTGCTACGCAGCACTCGAGGGTGCGGGTCTCAGCCATTGGTTTTGCGCTTGTTGGTGTCGAAGGAACCACGGCGGTTTGGCGTTCGCAAAGACAATACAATGGCATGAAACATGATGGCCTGCGCCAGACCCCTTGGGACGTTTGACGACGAGCGTCTAATTATGGACTGCACGCAAGACCGTAGACGCAGCACAGGAGATTTACCATGCAGACTAGGCTCAGTCGTCTCAAGTGCATATGCAGGGATGGTGATGTGAAGCTTGGAAATGGACGTCTGAGGTTGCCAGGGCTGAGAGATGTCTTGGCTGGCCGCCGGCGTCACTCAGTCGCGCCTGCCCACTCGAAACCTCCGCAGACCTCCTTCCCTTCGTTCCAGCGTGACTGCCGCCATATTTGCGCCCCGTTGGACGACATCAATACCCGTCCGCCGCCCCTGCCGTTCTGCCATTCGCTGCTACACAGAGAGCGCCGTGCCGTCTAGGGAACGCCATACCGCTTCCGAAGTCTGCAAGACCGCCGTCATGGACTCGTCAGACTACTTCACACCCGTCCGGGAAGACCGAGATGCCCCAGGGCCGCCGACTGAAGACTCTGACACCGACATGGCCGCCTCTGCCACCGCTACAGCCTCGTCCTCGCGCTCCACCATGTACACATCACCACACCCGCGCAAGCCCGGCCGCATGTCTCGATCGGGAGCAC